ATTTTCACCATAAATAATTTGTAACATTTTCAGGAATGCATATTAGCGATTGATTCATTCATAAAGTTTACATAAAATGACATGTTAAATGCCGATCTTAAGAATGTGCACTATAGATTTTGAGTAATCCTATAAACACAAATTATGTATCAGCTAACACACTAGCTAGACACAATATTAAGTAAAATTATGTTAAGCGGTGGAACTCACATATATGTCTTGTTTGGTTTTATTAATTTTTAATTTGTTGATATAATAATTCTTCACGTTAGAAGATTTGTTTCTCTCCCTTGTAGAGGGTCCTTTCTCCTCCTCTATGGAGGCGTGGGTCTTTCAATCCATGAAGGTTAAATTTTGAGTTAAATTGGTGAATTAAAGTATTATTATAAATTAGTAGTTAAAGAATGGTAATTGATAAGTAAATGAATAAAAAATAGCACATAAAATATTAAATTGTCAAAACAAATGTATTACTTTTGTACAATAAATAGTACACATTGTTAAAACAAATTTATATGAAGTACAATTTTATTATGCCAACATATAGCCCAAAAAAAAAAAAAACTATACAATGACTTCGAAGAGGAGTTGGGTGGATTGGCGATGTTGACGGAAGGGTAGGGAATTAGAGATTAGGTTTATTTTAGGATAAAATTATAATTTAAAAAAAAAAATTACTAACTATTTTGAGCAAAGCAAAACTGATGTTTCTGTTTGATTTTAATTTTAGAATTAGTTTTTAAAAAAAAAATTAAAAAAAAAATTTAATTTGACAAAAATATATATCAAAAGATACTTTTAAATTCTTAAAATTTATTTTTGTCTCAAAAAAAGATAAAATTATATGAAAATGATGAGTTTCACTTATTATTATTTTCAATAAAATTAGTTTTTAGTTTTTTTTTCCAAAAATAAATTTCAAAAATCAAATCAAACAAAAACCGAAATTTCTCAAAAGCTACATACAAAATGGCATGCGTCATTTATTGAGGGTGCTTGCAAATTGGATTGTGTCGGGTTAGGTGGCCTTCTATCCGCCATCCATTCGAACTTAGGTGGATTGAGAAAAATCAATTTGTATCCATCTGCTTAGTTAATAGATGTGGATTAAGTGGACTGTACGGGTTGGTAGGTGGATGAAAATCGGTTTAGTAGTTTAGGTATTGTTTTGGGCCTTTTTTTAATACTATTTTTTAGTGGTTATCTGTTATTTTTGGCTTTATTTGGGTCCAAAATTTTTCATTCTTCAATTTTTATAGTAAATATAGTGACCCAACTTTCATATATTATAAATAACTATAATTACTAATTAATAAAAGGGCCAATTTTTTTAAGGACAAATTTCACTTTATCACTGTAATTTCGGTCATGTGCAGTTTATCCCCCTATCATATAGAAATTACCACATAACCCTCACGTGGTTTGTCGATTGAAGTGCACAGTTAAACATTCTACCCAACTTAATAGTAAATGTAAAATATATAACAGACATAAGGGGGTTATATACTCATTTTTAAATTTTAAATGGGTAAATCGCACATGAAATAAAATACAGGGGGTTAAAGTGCACTTTGCCTTCCAAACAAATGACGAAAATACCAAAATATTTTGGTCTTTTTTATTAAATCGTTAACGTACTTAACGATACATTTCAGTCCACAAATTATAAAATAGTTATGCGACCATTTCTAAACATTAGGAGGCAAAACAAACATGACTCAAACAATAGTAGATAAATTGAAGCTGGTCCCTTTTTTAATATACAAAGCTAAAACAAAACATCATTTTCTAGCATGCCAACAAAAAAAATTAACAAACAAATTGACATGTTTTAAAATAAATAAAAAAACATAATTGTCAATACATTACTATTCTTTTTTTAAAGTAAAAGTTTATTATCACATCTCTATCAACAAATATATGCTTGCAGGTGGAGTTGGGTTTAGTGGTTTCTTATCCGCCATCTATTTAAATTAGGGGTTGTTTGGGATGATTTAAATAAGTGTATTTTTTTACTTTTTATGAAATATGCGTTGGATTTGAAATGATGTGTTAGAAAAGTGATGTGACTTAAATATGATAGTGACTTTTTAATTTTTTTCAAATATGCCAAACTAATCCTTAAACTTTTTGAAAAAAATATATCCACATTCATCCGCTAGGACTATCGAAACTACCCATTCTACAGTGAATCAAATGAATGCTTGTCCAACCTTATCATTTATATCTTAGGCTGTGTTTGGGAATGCTAACAAAAAAATAAAAAAATAAAAATTAACAAACAAATTATCATGTTTTAAAATAAATAAAAATATATAATTGTCAATGCATTACTATTCATTTTCTTGAATAAAAGTTTATCACCACATCTCTATTAAATAATGGGTGTTCACGGATTATATTGGGTCGGGTGATTTCTCATCCACCATCCCTTAGACATTTTGAAAAAAATACATCCGCACCTATTCGCTTGAAGAATCAAAACCACCCATTATACCTTTAATCAAATGAATACTTGTCCAACCCTATCATTTATTTCTTAGGCTATGTTTGAAAAGACAGATTTGTAATTAGTACCAGCCCTAGGCTTCCAAAAAATTATACTTGTCCAACCCTATCATTTATTTCTTAGGCTATGTTTGAAAAGACAGATTTGTAATTAGTACCAGCCCTAGGCTTCCAAAAAATTGGCCCAAAATAATGGGCTCCAAATTTAGTAAAGTATTATAGTATATTATAAATTTAAATTGGCCTAAATTATTTTTGTTATTTTAGAGCCAATTCAAAGGGTCTAAAAATATTCTATTGGACCATAATTATTTATAAGCATGGTTTGACCCAATTAAAATTAAAATATCTACAAAAAGTGTTGATGGCCTAGTGTCACGGACTTAGATTTCGCAAGCCTACCGTGCGGCCTTAAATGCCTCTCAACCCTCTTGGTTGCACCTAAGTCAGCCTTACCCACTCAACCACACTAACACACGCAGTTTAGGTGGAAGAATGCCACTCAACCTTCGCAAGCCTACTGTGCGTGACACTAGGAAGAAGAATAATACATACAAGCTCTCAATCTTTCTCTCTTTCTCACAAAGTAATGAAGGAAATGAAGCATACCAAGCATAAGCAGAGTACTGAGCAATGGCAAAAATTGATTGGAAAATATCAACGACAGCTACTCTCTCTCATTCTCTTTCTCTCTCTCTCACAGTAAGTCTCTTCTCTCTCTCCCTCTTACCATCAAATTTTAATAGAATAAATAAATTTGTCCTGATTTTTTTCTATCTTCTTTTTCTTTATCAGATTTTAGTGAAATAATAAATTTGTCCTAATTTTTTTTACCTTCTTTATTTATCAGATCTTAGTGGAATAAATAATTTTTCCCTAATTTTTTTGCCCTAGTTTTGTTTCATTAAATTATTTTTTATATTTTATTTACTATCAAATATGAAATAATCAGTGAATTGTGATTTGTGGATTGAATTGTGATTATAGTTATGTTTCCTAGTAATTCTAGAAATGAAACGAGAAAGAAGAAGCTGAAAGTAGAACAATTAATTCAATCTCAATTGGGATCACTTGATAAATATTTTGGTAGCAAGAAATAAATAGATTTGTTTGCTTCATATTGCTAGAACATTTCATTAATTAAATTTGTTGATTAATTAATTTGTTTTGTTGATTTGAACTATACCTTATGGTTTTTTTTTTTTTTTTTTGTATTCTAGAATGAATACATTTTGATATCTATTTTGATACCAATTGACAGTATTTTTATTTTTTTTGGTACCCTAGAATGCATGAATACATTTTAATATCTATTTTAGGATTGGTTTGAGATGTCCTAAAAAAGTGTACTTTTGTCTTTTTACGAAAAGATGTGCAAAAAAGTAGAGAGGTGATGTGATAGAAAAAATATAAAAAGATGGATTATATAGGTCACTCCAAACGAGGCCTTAGTATCAATCGCCGATAGTGATACCAAACATGATTTTTTTATTTATTTATTTATAAATATAGGCCCCTTTTTTTATTTCGCTTTAAGCCTTTGAAAACTCAAAACTGGCCTTGAGTCTGTAATCAAAAGACCATTATAAATTGGCACATTATTTTCTACTCGGATTTGGGATGGCTGCTGTGCGGGGTGCACAATAGTCACTATTGTGTAGCCAAATGAGCTCATTTCGATAATCTGAACCGTTCCCATTTTAGAATAAATCAAATAGTATATACTTATAAAAAAACAAATTAATCGAATATCATTTACCTTATCATCCACTCACATTTGTATTCATTTTAATAGTTTAAATTACAATTGTTATTTAGCCTCCGTTTGAGAAGTGGGTTGATTTTTTGACTTTTTAGCTTTTTTTGACTATTTGAGCCTGGGCCCAAAAGCTTGGTTTGGCAAAAATTTTTTGGCTTTTTGACTTTTTTGACTTTTTTTGTGAGAGAAGAGTGTAATGATTATAGGTTGGATGTGATATTTTGTCTGTTGTGGCTCAAATAGCCTATTCTGTCTTTTGTGGCTCAAAGAGCCAAAATGAGCTCTTCCCAAACGACACCTTATTTTTGTAGATACAAATGTGAGTGGATGAATAGATAAACGATATCCGATTAACTTAATTTTTTATAGATATATTTTACTTAATGTATTACAAAATGTGAACTGTTTAAATTATCAAAATAAGTTTCAAAATTAACCTATTTAATTATACAACACTAACTGATGTGCACCTCACGCAACAACCACCCCCAATCCCTTTCTACTCTATGCAAACCAAACATCATGTAAAAATGTCTATTATTATCGTTATCGCAACATTCAATTCAGGCATTAAATTTTGTTAAAAAATTTCTATATAAACAAACTTCATTTTACAGATCTCTACATATAATCCAATATTCAAATCCAATCTTAAAAATCTTTCAATAGATTATTATAATAGTGTACACGATGTTTCAAATTTGTGTATATCGTGTACATTTTAAAACATAAAAATCTCCACCAAAACGCATGCAAACCAATCTCTCTCTCTCTCTCTCTCTCTCTCTAAAAAAACGTGTCGCCTCCTACACTTCCGTCCTTCGACCCTTTCCTTCGCTTTCCTCTCTCTCTCTCTCTCTCTCCCTAGCATATTGAACTTTTACTTCAGTATATCTCATACAATATATATATCGTAATCAAACTCGCCGGACTTCAATTCCGATTGCCGGAGCTCGCGGATCTCCGTTTCAGCAGCAATCTCGCAGAGGTTTGTGTTCTCTCAATCCTTTTTTTTTTTTGCCTTCTCCAATTGCGGTTTGGGAATCGGAATTGTTTGATTTTCGGAGTGCTTTTTTTTTTTTGGTTTGTAAATAGCGAATTAGAAGCACCGAGATCCAATTTTTGCTGTGAAACATCGACTTTTCTGGCGAATAAGCTGTTTTGGTAGTTGAAATTCGTGCGAATGATTTATCTATTGCGCTTGGTTAAATTTCTTGAAAGCGAGGAGGTTTTGCAGTTATTAGATCCAATAAAAATTGCCGAAAACTTTTCTTTGTTTTTCGAATATATGCACTCATAGGCACTATATGTGTGATTATTGGTGGTCTTCTGGTGTTTGATTTGAAGCGGAGAAGCTGCCTGCTTAGTGTTTTTTTTGCAAGAAAATATTTGTTAATTTTCCGGGAAAATTTATGTTGTGTGCTTACGGAAAGAGACAGAAACTTCGATGCATGTAGAATCTAGTGGCGGCTCAAGTTTTTGGTGACCTTAGGTTAATGAGGCCTTATTTAGGCTTTTGAAAAGTTGGAGCCCTTCTACAATACAAAAAAAAATTTAAAAAAAATTGTGGGATCACCTGAGTGGCCTAATGATTGAGCTACCTCTGTAGAAAGTCGATTGATGTCTTAATTTTCAGCGAGAAGTTCAGTAATCTTTGACTGCTATTTGATAATCTTGGTGAACTCATGTAGTATTTTTCTTTCATTTATGGATTATTTAAACATACTGATGCAGTGATGCTCTTGTCAATTTAAATTTGAAATCTGGAGCATTTCTCTCCTGCCCAAATCATATACAGTACGTGGCATGTTTTTGCCCTGCCCTCTCTCTCTCTCTCTCACACACACACACACACACATATACAAACATACAAAAAAGAATTACAACATAAGTAACACACGACTTGCATGTCACACCACAAAGATACATTTGTCATAAGATAAGCATTCACATGTTTTTTACTCTTGGGTTATGTTTTGATACTAATATGTTCTTCAGATACTTCGATTGTTGTTTGATATGAGAATATACAGAAGCTGTTGCTGTTCATGAGGGCATTTAAATCATGGAGATGGGTGGTCAGGAAAAGACACATATTATTTGACGGGGTATATTTTATTTGAAAGTAGTTGTAATTTGTTTAATTTCATAAACTAGGTGGATAGATGTTGTGAACAATTTGTTTCATGTTTTAAAGATGTCTTGGTTGAAGGGTTGAGTATTAAACCATGTAACAATTGGAATGCAGGGAACATGCGGAGTCAAAATGAAACAACTGCCGTTTATGGTAATTGTTTGTACAGTCATGTTGTTCATAGTATACAGAACCACAAATTATCAATATCGACAGACAGAGGTATAGTGACATTATCTATAATTTGAATGTTGTGTTTTGGGTAATCATGAATAAATATGGAAATTGGGGTAGACTGCAGGCCCTATTGATGGTATTTAAATTTTGGTAGTCAATTCAATTTAAAGGTATTCTTACACCATGTTACTTGCAATAACAGAACCATATGACCTATGTGTAAGTCGTTGGTTGATTAGAGTGTTTCCCAAAGTTTTCTTTAAAAAAAAAAAAATCCCCGAGGTTTCAAACCAGTTTCTTTGTAGTGTAATCATTCTTTACACACTGGAATACATATGAAGTTGGGCCTTTTTCTTTTTTACCTTGCTTCCTCTAATTTTTTTTCTCCTATTTCACCATCAGATAGACGAACGATTGAACCCCTTCTACACATCGAAGGTATTATTTTCAGTTCTATTTTATTTTTTTTAAAAAAATTGCATTGTTTTTATTCTTCTATTTGTCTGCCTTAGACATGCCATAACTTCAGTATTGCTTTGGATTTGGTCTAATGCTTGATTTTGCAATTTTTTTTAATTTTTTATTTCTTCAGTTGTTTTATGAACTTGCACATGATAGGTGATTTGGTGTTGATGTTCCTTATGTTACTGTTATTCTGAGCTATTGCTGATCCTATGAACCAGGATATTGGTGTGGCTTACAATAGTTTGGCTAGTTTACCTCGTGGCATCATTCAAGCTGGTTCAGATTTGGAGTTAAAACCTCTATGGTCAACAAGTAGTTTGAGGGAAAAGGTTAGGTTTTGATCTTGTTATACTTGCCAATGTGCAAACTTCTTTTGAACATGCACTTGTCAGAAAGTTCATTTACTATTTGTTGATTTTTCTATATCAACAGACAAATTCTGTTTATATGCTTCAAATGTTGTGTTACTTGTGTACATGATCATTACGTCATATTTGTGGCTAACATGTGGCTGCCTTTTCTTCAATTATCAGGTTGATGTTTCAAGCTCTCATAACTTACTAGCAATTCCAGTTGGCATTAAACAAAAGAGTAATGTTGATGTTATTGTTCAAAAGGTATAATTGTTTATTAATGCTTGTTATTCAAAGCTATAATAGTTCATTGACATTAGACATGTCATTATGTGGATGTTATTTGCCTAATTTTAGTGAATTCAGTTTCTTTCAGAGAATTTTACAATTATATTATTCCATTATGATGGCAATATGGATGGATGGTGGGATCTTCCATGGAGTAAGAACGCTACACATATAGTTGCTCAAAACCAAACAAAATGGTAAGGCTACATATATTTCTTAATTGGGATTTTAGATGAGTTATTTCATAGTAATATTTAGATGAGTTTAGATATGTCATAATTTATAGTGAGCCCTGAAGTTTCAACTGGCTGAAACATTGGTCTTCAGATAGGATGGTTCTAACTCAATTAGACGGATATATTTTTCTTAATATGAGATCTCTCTGGCAGACAGATCAAATAACAAGTCCTTCTATTGCCTTTATTAACAACCATTTTTTTTTTTTTTTTGCCTTTTTTTTCTCTTTCAGCAGTGTTACTCTCTAGTTGAACTTTGTATATAGTGCTAGTTTTAATCCTTGGTGTAATAGTGTTTTATTTTTATTGCAGGTGGTATGCAAAACGCTTTCTGCATCCAGCTGTTGTATCTATCTATGATTATATATTTCTTTGGGATGAGGATTTGGGGGTGGAGAATTTTCACCCAGGAAGGTATGGTTAATGCCTTTTCTAACATTTTTTCTTTATCTTAGTTTGATTTTTTCCTCCAAAAATGTTTATCTTCTGCACAAATATTTTTTGTGAATGCACTAGTACAGATGGTTCTTTGTGAATGAACCTAAACATAGTAAAATTGATGGAGTTTGTGACTCTGGAAATTAGCAGATGTGAGAACCATCTAGATTAAGATAATAAAACAGATGAGGAAAATTTAGGCTTTGATTGGGACACCCTAATGCCAATAAAAAAAAAGAGGAAAATTTAGCTCTTTTTTTTAACTTGTGGTTGTTAAGGTGATCATTTGTTTATGCAAAGCCCTTAATTTTTCCATAGAACATAATGACAAGGTTGTTTGTCAACTCGGGCCCCCTATTCCATGTAGCTTATTGATTGAGTGGTAGTATTTCCCATTGCAGATACTTGCATATTGTGAAATCGGAAGGATTGGAGATATCTCAGCCAGCTTTGGACCCAAATTCGACTGGTATACATCACAAAATAACAATACGGTCAAGAACAAATAAGTTTCATAGGTGAGTGTAGTGGCTTTCAGATATAATTCTACCGTTGAAATTTTGTGATATTAATACTAGCATATTTTTGCTTTATACAGAAGAGTCTGGGATGTTAGAGGCAGTACAAAGTGTTCAGAGGACAGCGATGGTCCACCATGCACAGGGCAAGTAATCGTAATACCTATGTCATGACCTTAATTACTGCTGTTTTTCTCAATTTTTTAAATGTGCTGTCTTGGTTAATTGTTGTGTTAATTCTCCCATTTGTCCTTGGTTGAATTTGTCATCATTATGCAACTAAGCCACGTCATCAAACAAGTTTTTTTCTGTAACTCTGGTAGAAGTATTTGTCCTTTAAAGTTTTCACGTAAGGAACCTTAAGAAATACGATTTCTGTGTAGATTTCAGGGAGCATGTATTTCGTTCATGACTAAAAATGAGTAAAACACTTCATTTTTTGCAGATTTGTGGAAGGAATGGCTCCAGTATTTTCAAGATCTGCCTGGCATTGTGCTTGGCATCTTATACAGGTGAATTTAGATTTTTTTTTCTTCCAGAGATCCTATTACTTTGAATCACATTTTGTGTGATATTATTCATGCAAACACAATTCTTGTATATAAACATCGGTTGTTAAACATTTTCAAGTTACAAAATTATCAGTATTCCCATAGTATACTGACAGATTGCATACCAACTGTTTGATGATGTACATAAGAAGGAAAAAAAAAAAAATTCTTACTTCACATGATAATAGAAAAAGATATTTTTACTAATTAATAGAACCCTTACTTTTCCAACAACATATGAAGTCAATCAAGAAAAATATATTAAGATTATAGACTAGTTTCTTCATAAAAAAATAAAAATTGTTTGACCTTAACAAAATATGAACAAAATAAGTTTAATTCCACTTTTGAACAAATTTGAAGTTCTTTTAAATCTTGAAAATAGTTTAAAATTGAGTTAGAATTAAGTTTCATTGCAAAATTTCTTTTAATGTACAAAATCGGCTAATAGTCGAGACCAATGATTTTAATGTATAAAACTATATAGTCAAGACAACTAAAATTCATTACAATTTCCCTTTCCGTGCCGCTCAAAATGATATTACCATGATAAGTAAAGTATCCCATCCATCATCTTTTAATTTTTGAAAATGATCTTTACTTGATGAAACAAGATGGATAACATTTAAAATGTCTTAGATTTTATGACATTTAAAATGGATGGGACTTAAGGCTTGGCTTGGTTTGGTTTGGTTTGGTAAAATGGATGGGTGAGAACTAATATTAAAGAAGCAATCAGCAAAGCACTACGTTTATCTAGAGATAGTTTCCCTAAGCATTGTGTTTGTTCTAATTTGAATTAATTTTTCAGCATTCCAAATTAATTTCTTTGTTGGCTATACATCTCTTTTATGGGATGCCTTGTCATTAATGACCTAAAGCCAAATTATGTTCACATATTTGATGTTTCCGAGAAAATTTTGCATTATCTGATGGGCAATGAACGATTTTGGAGCACTTTGTATTGCATGTCATTTTTGGACCTTTCCTTAAGTATTTTGCGCACAGGAGGTGTGGGAAAAATTTAAAATGGAGATACTTGTGTTGGTTGCTTTTATGTATTGATGCTTTAATCTTTATTTGATAGGCTATCATCTTGACAAGGATTTGTAACCGATTGGTTACAATTTACACCTAGTTTAAGTATTACAAATTTGTCTTGCCATTGTTAGTCAGAATGTTTAAGTTATCAGTCTTCATTGGGTACTCAACCGAAATTTCTGCTCTCTAGAGTGTACTTATTTGAATGTGTTGTATATTAATTAAAATACAATTTAACTTATAGAGTTGCTTTCATTCGTTTTCTCAGAATGATCTTGTTCATGGATGGGGAATGGACATGAAACTTGGGTATTGTGCACAGGTGAGATTTACTTGCACCTTTCCACGTTTTAGTCTAGCACTGCTAATTGTTTTGGGCTTGTCTCCATTAATGTTCATTTTGGGCCATGTAACTCTTTGTTATTACTCATATCCACAGGCTTTTGTTGTAAACAGAATTCATTATTCTTTTTGCTGTTCAAGCAATGATTAAACAGTGGAACTTGGTACAACTTTATATCGTTCAGAATTTTTGTAGCCTGAATCTGTGTGTGGAGGAGCACCTTCATATTTATTTTTATTTTTGTTGTTCATTATTGTTTTTTATTCTTTGTATAGAGATTGCTACAATTATCACTAACTCCTCAGGCACATTCCTAACTTACACCACTACCACCCGTCCCAATAATCCTGCTGCATGAGCATAGGTTCAATGTGCACAATCGTCTCCTTCAACTGTTTGCAAAGTCATCTCTTCTGTAAAATGTGCACAATCATTTCCATCAACTGTTTGCATAGTCATCTGTTCTAAAACCAGCTTTCACCCTCGCAAAAGATTTAGCTCTAGGTTCTTTAAGTAGTTTTTCATTGTATCTCTAATTTTGGGTGATGCATTTAAGCAATTGGTTTGGTTTTTGTAGATTTCATGTTTTTTTCTTTAGATATTTTGGGTTTCAATGCTTTGTTTACAATTTTGAGTAGCACTCTTATAGTTCTTGATAAAATTTGGATTTTACAGGGTGACCGGACAAAAAATGTGGGAGTAGTTGATAGTGAATATATTGTTCATCAAGCAATACCAACTCTGGGCGGGCCATCTGCAAAAAAGGTCATTATCTTAATTCTAATGTTGGTAGATTTCTTGAATTTTATGTTAAAAACCTATGTCAGATCTGACCGATATTTAACGTGCATATATATGTTAAGCAGATACATGAGGTTAGATACATCAAACCCTTACGGTCCTAACTGAAATAAAGAGTGTTATGATCCGTAAATTTAGTTTGATGTATTTTTGTAGATGGTGGTTTAGTAATGTAATGTTTTCGATGTTGGCTTGTACCAAGTAGCTTATACCTGCTTGGTCTTTGAGCCCGTTGATTCACTGGAACTCGTGTTTAGTGCTTACAATTACAACTATTAGGCTGAGCTAAAACAAATGTATGTGGTGATCTAAAACAGCTGGATTACGACATTATGGTGACAAAGTTTGTTGAAATTAGACCTATTAGTTTGCATCTCTCTCTTTAAATTCATATATTATCATCTAAAAAAACACAACACTTCTACAGAGGAAAGCTTGTCGTGTTTGACACCCATGTCGGATACCAACACTCTTCAAACACTACCAAAAGTGTGTCTGACACAACTTCAATGTGTCTTTATTAAAAATTCAATTTCATAACATTGGACACTTTATTGACACTTCGCGGACACTTTGGTGACACTTCTTGAACAGCTAAACACGTCCTGTGTGATGAATCCCTTCATAATAATGATTTTTTGCATTCTTCAAAATATAATTTATGCACTGTAAATATGTTTTGAAATGATTATCATGTATATTACAATGTTTTATAATCGTTTTGTATTCTTTAGAATTTAATTGTTATTGTTATGCGAATGATAACTTGATGTTTTAAGTTATAAAATATATAGCTTTTTTCACTGTGTTTAGTTGGGGGATTTGGAAAGGGATTTGGAAAGAGAAAGGGAAAGGGAAAGGAAAATGGTAGGTGAAATGAGAATAAAATATAGTTATATTTCATCTGGTTTCACATATCTTTTCTCTTACTTTTTGCAAATCCCTTCCCAAATTCTCGAACCAAACACAGCGTTAATGTAATTAGTGTTATATTACATATTTTTCATTATCTTTTAATATATTATTCATATATATGATATAATAATGTCCCAAGCGTGTCGTTTCTTGTATTTTTTAAAATTGACATGTTAGCATGTCCGTCTCATGTGGCGTGTGGCGTGTCCATCTCATGTGGCATGTCCGTGTTTGTGCTACTTAGATTATTGTTAATGGTTATAAAGAATACAAGAATTAGGAGCAAATTCACATATTTTATTGTTATTTGATGACTTATTGTTCCTTCATATTTCCACTCACTGCTGTTGATGCTTTCTCTATCTTCATCCAGGCTTCAAATCCTGAAGAGTCAATGAAGGTATACTTCTCATTTAATTCTACAGTCTTTCATATTTCTTCATCTTAGACATTTTTAATTTTCTCACACTTGGTTTTTCCCTCTTGATTTTCAGAAACCTACTTTTGATATGCGGGCTGAGGTGAGACAATGGACCTACATTATGTCATTTTAAGTACATGCGCTCTTGAATTACTATCATTAAATACAAAAATGCCTGTGTTTGGAACGTTCATATCTGCTATGAAGTCTTGATGGCAGCTCCAGTAGTTCGTTTCACTTGCACTTACTTTGTTTGGACAGCAAACATTTTTTGAAAAATATTTTTCACATTTTCTGGCATTTGATTCAATGGAAAACAAAGTCAACGGAAAATGTTTTCCACTTTGAAAGGTGGAAACGTTTTTCGGACCAAAGCCTTACCATTGCCACTACATTAACACCGACCATCACCACCACGTCCACCCCGCCCTGTCACCGCCACTGCCACCGCCACCCCACCACCATTAATACAACGACTAGTACTTTAGTTTTAAGGATGCAATCAAACATAGGAAAATGTTTTCTATGGAAGGCATTTTTTGGGAAAAAAACTTTCTTTTAAAAAAAAAATACAATTGGAAAATATTTTATACGGAACGTTGAAGTTGCTTACTATTGCCACTGCTGCTGCTATATTATTTGTGGTTCACTTTAAATTAGTGCAAGTTGACCTTTCTAGAACCATCTGTAGTTTTTAGTTTTTTTCTAAATATTTTTCTCTGATTTTTAGGAATTGGAAAAATATCCGAGTACCAAAAAATTTTATTCTTAGATGAAAAGTTGGATTTCACGTTTACACTTGTTGCATATGGAATTTGTGTTTAGATAGTGTTTGTATCTTGAATTTGTGAAGAGGGAATAAAGGAAGAGGAAAGTGTGCAAGTAAAAGCTGAATTTTGTCAACTTTTCCGGTTGCCATTTTGTTTCCCCGCACAAATATATGATCCAAACACAGCATAAGGGACCAATTTCCAAGACTTTGATTACTATACTGATCCAAACGTATTTGACGTAATTTCTTCGTTTATATGTTGAAATTGGTTTGAGCAGATACGAAGGCAATCGACATCAGAGCTTCTAACATTTAAAAAGCGTTGGGATCAAGCAGTGAAGCAGGACAGGAAGTGGGTCGATCCATTTAGAAGAAAGCGAAAGCTGATACTGAGACGCAAGCAAAGATTACACATTTGAGTTTTTTGTATCTCACTTCCATATGTTGTAATTTAATTTGTCTTGGCTCATTGGATCTCATAATTATTTCATTATTTTAGTTAGTCCATGTTTTTCATTTACTTGTCGCGTAATGTTTCTATTCATCTTCAAACTTCACTTAATAGCATCAAATTTCATTTTATGCCCTTTTGGAACAGAACAGAAAGTAGATGTCATGTGTCATGTACCAAGCAAGGGGTTTTGAACTAGCGAACGTGTACACACGAAGCACGCTTTTTGTAATGACTTAGTAGGAGAGGGAGAGAGGGAAACAATAGTTTTGAGTGTCGAATTTATGTAGTCCAGTTATTTCTACATTTTTTGTTCATATAGTTATAGATGGAAATAGTTTAAACAATTGTGTAGTTACAAGTTCTAGGGCAAAGGACTTTTTTTAAATTTTTTATTTTGAATAGGGGAATTAACAGCCAAGCAAACGAAACAGAGAAAATAGAAAACATAGCAAAACTAAGAAGCACCCAACAAAGTAGCAAGGGCAGCTGGTGGGTTGGAGACCCAATCCTGTGGGAGAAAACCATGCAGACGCTTGTGCTACTCAATGGGTGACACTATTGGCAGAGCGAGGTCTCCATTGAAGGATCAACATTTCCTGAGAAGCCAATCTCCTAATATCATCAATACTCAGTCCACATTCCCAAGGAGGAACAATCTCGGACACACTGAGGAGGATGATTGATTTATCAATAATGATTTAGACCACTAAAAAATACACCACTAATAGCACTAATGCATTGGGAATAATAAAAAAAAAGAAAAAAAAGAAAAGAAACAAGGCATAGAAAGTGGACGGGGCTCACTGCCATATCATTAGTGTTCCTTCTAATGCTCTATTTCTAGTGCTCTCAAGCATTTTTCATTGATTTATTATCTCCTTCAATAATTGTCCCCGTTAAACCCCAAGCCTAAGCAAAAAGTCAAGCCCATCTACAAGCTAGAGCTTCACCTTGGAATGAAAAGGAGATGTATTCTTTCTTGGTTAGACCATTCAGAATCCGTTCAGAAGCATTCCTCAGAACCATCGCAATAAAGGCCTGGGAAGAGCCTTTCTTTGTAGCCACATCCCAATTGAATTTGAATCGACCTTGATCAAGTGGTGTCCAGGCACTCGCTCCATCTAGGATCAGAGAAGGCCAGTGAGGAAAGGAAACTGCTGGGCGATGCACCACATTCTCAAATTCTGCCATTACCACTCGAGCTCGATGTAAAGTTGAGGAGGGCTTCACCGGGTGATGGTTGAAAACATAATTGTTTCGGTCCTTCCATATGAACCAGCTAATCCAAGCTACTGTACCAAGGTAGGAAGCTCGAACCTCCTCATTCTTGAATTTTTCCACCAGCTCACACGACCATTGTATGGTCGATTGAATGGCTCCACATTTAACTTTGAAGTTTAGGTCACTCCCAAACCATATGGCTCTTACCCATCCACAATCGAAAAGAATATGTTCCACTGATTCGGTTTTGCTGTGACAGATTGGCCATTCATTAGAAGGGCACACCGTCTCCGAAATAGATTCTCTCTGGAAGCTAACACATTTTTACACGTTCTCCACTAGAAATGGTGGATCTTTGGAGGAACTTTAAGTGTCCAAATCAACTTCCAAAAACTGTTTGAAGGTCTAAAAGAGGTAGAGGGTCTTTGAATCCACTGGTTTTGCGCCTCCGAAAGAGCTACATGATATCTAGTTTTGACTGAATAAACCCCTTTCGATTCAAAGTGCCAAAGGTAAAGGAATTGACCTGATTACTGCCATCTCAGATTCAGATACCAAACTTTGAAGAATGTCTGCCTTCCAACTCTTACAGGTAAAGTCAATCACATCTTCTACCTTCATGATCAAAGATCCAACCCATTTGTCTACCCAGAACTTGACATTTGTGCTATTATTAATTTGCCATCACAAACCTTCCATAAGCACATTCCTTTCCTGCAAAATACTAGCCTTAGCCCAAGCCCAAGCCCAAGTAGCTCTACGACCTTTCATCGCTTCCAAAAAGAAGGAGTAAGGAAAATAGATGCCTTTCAAGATGCAAGCACCAAAAGAGTTTGGATACTTCACTAATCTCCAACCTTGGCGAGCTAACAGAGCTAGATTAAAAGCTTCGAAGTCTCGAAAGCCCAACCCTTCATGAAATTTTGATAGCGTCAAAGAGTCTCAATTGATCCAATGAATTCTTCTTCCTTCCGGGTCCCCTCCTCACCAAAATTGCTAATATATGCATTCAACCTTGCACAAAACCATTTTGGAAAGACGAAACAGGCCATAGCATAGGATGGGATTGCTTGAATCACTGCTTTGATCAGAGTCTCTTTCCCCACTTGTGATAACAATTTTGATTTCCACCCTTGTAACTTTGAGAGAACTCTTTCAATTATGAATTGAAATGCTTCCGCTTTGGACCTACCCCAAAAGGAGGGTAAACCCAAATATTTTGCATTGGCAGGGGTAATCCTTAGACTCGGGAGAGCACTGATTGAGCTGCTCACCTGTGGCTGAACATTTGTAGAAAATTACACGCTGGATTTGTCAAAATTTATTTGTTGACCAGATGCCTTACAGTAAATGTCCAGAACCTCCAACACATTTTTGCATTCCTGAATGTCAACCTTAAGAAATAGTAGCACATCATCCGCAAAAAATAAATATGAAAGGGTTGGGAAGTGACCTCGGGGTCAATGTCAGGCATCTCGTAAGGCGTCCAAGCAAACACCTCAATATTTGCTCTCAAGAAAGCTTCCAACTCATTTTCTTCTTCTTCGGCTAAACCCGAGCCGAGAAGAAAGAAACGTTCTTTATCCCCCTCCTAGACGAGGATTTTCTTCAGTGCTTCTTCACTTTTCTCGGCTGGCTCCTTGCCGACATCCTCTAAGACCTCCATGTCTTCGTCTTCGATTTCTGCTTTCTCTGGTTCTCGTATGCTGCAGGTGGATTTCATTGTTGCCATAGAGTAATTCTTTGCCTGCAGCTGATCTCCTCTGACCTCCTCAATCCGATGTTCTGTTGGGAACTGCAGCAGTTGATGCAATGTTGAGGGAACAGCCTTCATGGCGTGCAGCCATGGTCTTCCCAGGATTGCATTATAAGGGGAGGGTGTGTCGATTATGGTGAATTCTGTCATTATCTTCCTGGTGCCTGCCTGCACCTCCAAGCTCGTTGTTCCCAGTGGCCATGCCGGCGTTCCATTGAACCCGATCATTGGGCCATTGGATTGCTCCATATCATCTGGATGAAGGCCAAACTCCTTGTAACACCTGACGTACATGATGTCACAAGAGCTGCCTTGGTCAATTAAGATGCGCTTCACTTGGCACTCGCCAACCTAGAGGAATACTACCAAGGCATTGTTATGTGGATGCTGTACTATCTCAAGGTCGGCTTCTGTAAAGGACATTACTGGTCCCTAGCACTCCTCTGCCTGATGTCTCTTCTCCCCGACTTGGTAGACATGCTGCAAGTGTTTTACCTTCTGAGTTTCCCTCCTAATTTCGTTCTCGTTGACCTTTGAGTGAATTACATTAATTACCCGAGGTCCTCCTGCCTGAGGTTGTTGTGCTGGGGGAGGCGGAGCTGCTGGTGCCTGAGGCAGTCTTGCCTGTTCTTCCCTTGTCCTGGCCTCATTGACAAGGTCTCGCAAATGGCCTTGCTTCACCAAGTCTTCCAAGTGTGTTTTTAGGGCTCTGCAACCCTGAGTCATATGCCCATCTTCATTGTGGTAAGCACAATGCTTGCCAAGGTTTCTTCCCATAAATTCTCCTGGTGCCCTCGCTGGCGCTCTGAAATAGGGTTGGTTCTGAATTTTATCCAGGACTTTGTGAATTAGGATTCGGAACACAGTCGTAACTGCTTGTGTAGCCCTTAGTCCTATCTCTTGCTTGCTGGATCCATTGTTACCTCAGTCTCGCTTCCGCGAGCCGTTTTCTTTTTCTTGCTTTGTCTCCTTAGTCCCCGATGTATCTTCCTCAACTCTGGCATACTTCTCGATTCTAGCCATGAGCTCTTCCATGCTTTTTGGCAATGTCTTTGCCAAAAATTTTCGTAGTGGATAGTCATCTTTTAAGCCATTCTTGAAGGATACGACTGCCACCTCTTGATTGCATTCGGGTATTCAGTTGAACACCTCGTAGTACCTTTTTGCGTAGGCCCTAAGGCCTTCATCCTTACTGATTCTTAGAGCCATCAATGCGTCTACCCTCAATAGTTGTAGCTTGTTTGTCACGAACCTGGCTACGAACATCTTGGCCAGGCCTTCCCAGGTCTTCACACTTCCCTTCGGCAGTTTGTGGAACCAATCTGATGCAATCTCCCCAAAAGACGAGGGAAACACTTTGTAGAGTAACGGCTCGTTCCCGCTATATAATGCTATCGAATTTAGGTACAATCCAACGTAAAAGTTGGGGTCCGACTTACCGTCGTATATTTGAAATCTCGGCATACTGAATCTCTTTGGAGCCTCAAATTTGTCTAGCTCCACTAAGAATGGTGTTCTCGGCTTATCAGGGGAGGTTACTTCGGCATCGGTGTTTTGTTGCTTCCTCTTGAGGTAATCTCTCAAGTCTTCTTTGGCCCGACCAGGAGCTCGGCTATCTCCTGACTTCAGTCTTTTAGGTGCACTGCTCTCAACTTCGTTGTGAACCCTCTTTAACCCTTCTCCATGAGTTGTGTCTAAGCATAGCGTCTGCCCTTGAACATGCCGATGTTCTTTGGGGTCTGCCTCCTTGGTACGGTGCGTCCTCCGTGATTCTTGCCTCCTTGACTCTCCTCGCCCGACCTCCCTTGAAGGTCGGTGAGAGTGTCTTTCGCTCCTGGTGTGCTGGGGGGCTGCAGGGATCGTTTTCTGTCCTCCATTCTGGGCATTGGGCACTGGAGTCGGCGTGTCTTGTAGTGGGAATGGTGGTTGCATGATGTTGTTTTGCATCATAAAATTGACGACCGATTGCAGGTCTGCCAATTTGTTTGCCATCTCTTTTACCTCTTTGTCCCTCCGCAGGTATCTATCCTTCCATACCTGGAGGTCATCCTCGTTGTAGTACCCGCTCCGGTCTGGTTCCCTTGGCACGTCGCCACCCTGGCCGATGTCTTTCCTGTCGTGATTCTAGTTCTGAGTTTCTTTGTTGTGACC